AGTTAAATTTAGAATAAGATTTGTGAAATCAGTTTAATATCAAATTTAAATTATTCCAAACATATATATATATATATATATATGTGTGTGTATGTGTTAGGTTTCACTGTGTATATATACACAAGATGTATCAGAATGACATTTTAAAAATTTGGGGGATTGTAGAGGGTGAAATTTTGAACATTTTGATATAAGGAACCCATAGCCGGAAATGTGATATAAAGTTTCTACAGCACTTTGCAGTCAGTATGCTGAATGAAACAGCAGAATACAGTATTTATGACAAGTTTTATTGACAAAATAGTAGAGTACAATCAAACTGTACATTGAATCAGTGGCTGCACTACTTTAGAGTAAATGTTCAATGTGACAACCACCAACTTCGTTACATAATGGGCAATGACAAACCATGTTGTGTCTGACTCTCTGTAAGATGACATGCTCCCCTCTGATGGTATTAAATGTTGCTCTCCATAAGCTCCTGAACTGTTCCTACAGGTGTTGTGTACACAAGGGACTTTACATAACCTCAGAGGAAGAAGTCAATAACAATAACATGATGTCAATGGACGGAAGGTTAACTATCAAAGTAAAGGGTGGTCAAGCACTTCCTACCACTGTAGAAACTTTATATCACATTTCCGACTATGGGTTCTTTATATCAAAAAATTCAAAATTTCATCCTCTACAATCCCCCAAATTTTTAAAATGTCATTCTGATACACCCTGTATATATATTTAAAAAATTATATAATTTTAATATGAATAATAATGGAAGTTTCACTGTATATATATATATATATGTATATACAGTGAAACTTCCATTAATGAATACTCTTGAATAGCAGACACTCTAAATAGTTGATAACTACCTTATGAAAACACAAAGTCCTGCCTTCAATATTCCAAAAGAATTAATTATGTACATAATATTTAAAAACTGAAACAACAAATCAGTTCAAACCCTCTTTCAGAGAACGAATTTTGACAGTAAGCATCGAATAAAGACTAGCTTAAAATAAGAATAGGAGAGGAGGGCAGGTTGTAAAAAATAGAATAATATCCTTTATTTGTTAGAGAAGACTAATCTGGTTAAGTTGTCAATCACCATTTATCATCATACATATTAATGTTATTAAACTTTTGTCTTATTGTTGGAATTAAGCTTTTGATACCAAGAAACCATAAACTTTTCCAAAATTATTCATTCATTTGACAAGAACCATAGTTCGGTAGTAATGAAAAAGAAACAGTTTTAAGGTTATGACAACAGCATTTATGTGGTAAAAGTTCAAAGGTTTGTTACAAAGGTGACTTGCTGACCAATTTAAAGTGTAAGAAGATATTTGGTTTTCTTGAATTTATGATCTTAACAGCTTTGTGGTGACTTAAATGTAATTTTTAATAAATTGTTTATTGAAAAAAGCAAAAATGTTTTAAAAATTACACCTACTCGATAACTACAAAGTAGACAAATCACTGTATCAATTTTTATTAGTCAGGTCATATATGATGTTATAGATACAAGAATACTGAATACATTTCTTTTCTCTTGAAGTGGCTAGCAAATTGCCTTCATAACTCCACATTCAAACTTTCATCACCTAAACCCTTCTGTTCATAATAACAGTCTCATTTTTCTTTTTTGTTACTTCCACTCAGGTCATTTTAATTTATCAACACTTATGGTTTGTCTTAGTTTTTCTGTTCCATTTAATTAAAATATCCTGTACAACCTGTTTACTATAATATTTTAGAATTAAATTAAAATGTGATTTTTACAGCTGAAAAGATAAATAATATATTGTATATATATTTTAATTATATATGCTACATATACTTTTTGATATTTTCACATTCCTAACATAAATTTGATGTTCTCATAATCCATCATATTCTTCACCAGCATGTATCTCCGAATAGTAGACACCTCTAAATAGCAGACAAACTTCTTGGCTCTTGACAATGTCTGCTATTCAAAGGTTTTACTGTATATATATGTGTGTGTGTGGGGGGGTGAGCTCATGCACATTTGAGGGTCCTTCATCACACACATACAACTTGAAATATTACTAAATGAAGTGAAAATACAGTAACTATTTTTCAGTTTTAAAGCACAGAAGCCTTAAAGATAAAAATGGGAAAATGAAATATTTTTTCTAATTACAAAATATTATAATTATACGGTTAACAAAAAATATTTTGTTAACCGTATAAGTGGCTCTTCAATGAGTTGATTGTTAGAACGTAGATTTTGTGCTGTAAGCCCCACTGAAGAGGCCGTAGGCGAAATGCATATGGGAAGCTTGTTAGTAATAATGTAAATAAAAGTTTTTTCTCTGCAGATTATTTTCTTTTTTATACCTTTTTAAACTCTTTTTTTGAAAAATTTTTATAGTCACTATTGGCTTGTTTTTTTTAAAAAATTGAAGTTTTATACTATCCGAAAGTCAGAAGGGAAAGAAAAATATAATTTTTTCATAATTTTACATTTTATGTAAGAAGAAAACAAAAGAAGAAATTTCTGACTCCATTGAATTTTTATAACTTTTTTGGGACAAAATATTATGTTTAAGTTAATCCTCATTTATATTCATCAATTCATAATGTTTCAAATTTTAAAGCATAAAACACAAGTTCAAAGACTTACCCACTTAAAATTATAGTGTTATCAAATAAGTAAACTTTTAGATGTGTTAAACTGATAGTTTCATTCCATCGTTCAGGAAGAAGTGTCTTAATCCATCCTCTAAGAGAAGGTGTATGATAAAGAGCAACATTTATATCACAAGGAAAGTCACGAAGTAAGGGTAGTAATAATGTCCGTGTATTCTTTTGTCCTCTAGAACCTCGAGTAAAATCAACAAGTACTTTTGCTTTTACTTTACCATCAGATTTCTCTAAAGCCGAATGTAGACAAGATATCTATATAAAGTAAAAATATATATATTTAATTAATGATATTTATAATCATTATTTACAATTTTATAAAATTAATACAACAGATCTTCACTTTTCAATTCCATCTTTATGACATATAAATTTTCTATTATGACTGTATGAAATGCTGAAATGGAATTTCATACAGTCTCTGCTGTGCTAAAACTATTTTCAGTAACATAATTTCAATTTATGAAACTAAGAAAATAGGTTGAAATGTTTTTCCAGAACCCAATTAAATTGTAAAAGTGGAGGTCTATTGTAGTATAAAATAAGATTTAAAAATTCAATTCAAATAATTTTTCTGATTGTATCTCAAATTTACCATTAAATAATATTTATTTATTCTGTTTAAAATATTTTTTAAGTGCACATTTTATTAATTTTTTGTTTTCAGTTTAATTCTCTCTGCCCTGTTGGTTTAAAATACCAATACCCACCCCATGTGTTTGGCCAGACCCAAATTGGCTGTGTGTTAAGAGATGAAGAGCATCCAACTTATCTGGAAAAGATCACACAAAAAATTTCCAAGATATATGACTTGGACTTGAACCCAGGTTTCCCAGAGTAGAAGGCTGATGCCTTTACCATCTCAGCTATCTGCCCATTCATTTCATCAATTTGAATATTGAAAACAATCTGTTTTCATGATAAGACAATATCAGACTATTTTGTTCCACATTTACTTTCTACAAATAACTTTTACATTAAATTTAACTTATACCAATATTTCTAATTTGGAAATGATGTGTCAATCAAATCATCAAAGATTTCATTCAGTACTTTTCATTACACAATAATTACATTTTGTGCTGTTGTATGTTGGCAATAACAAAATAGCATACGAGGTAGTATAAAAACTTCTGGGACAGATCTCTTAGCTTGATAACAGAGGGCAGCACAGAGATGTGTTGGCAGTTGTGGGGAGTACTGACCATTGGGAATTAGTATGCTGAGTGACGCCATTTTGTGAATAACGGTTTTTGCACAATGTGGAGTTGAGTGACCATGCACGCAGGCCCATCTGTGATTTCAGTATGGACATCAAAATCAAGCAGAGAACCAACATCAAATTATATGTTAAACTCAGCAAAACTGGAAAGGAGACCTTCAAAATGATTCGGCAGGCTTATGGGGATGCTGCAATGAGTAGAACAATGTGTTTTGAGTGGCATGCACGTTTCAAAGATGGCAGAACATTGCTGGAAGACAACAGATCAGGTCAACCATCCACAAGCACAACCCCCAAAAATGTTGAAAAAAATTAGGCAACTTGTGCATGAGGATCATCAGAGAACTATTGCAGACATTGCTGTCATCATCAATATGTTGTACAGGACAGTCTACGCAATTCTGATGAAGGAGTTAAACATGCTGTGTCTCTGCAAAGTTTGTGCCCAGGCTTCTGACACCAGAACAGAAGGCGTACTGTGTTTGAAGTGTGTGAGGATCTTCGTCAGCAGGTTGCAGATGACCCAAACCTCTTGTCAACAATCACCACTGAGGATGAGACATGGGTCTATGGTTACGACCCAGAGACTAAACAACAGTCTTCATAGTGGAAGAACCCAACATCTCCATGACCAAAGAAGGTGAGGCAGGTCAGGAGCGCAACCAAAAACACGAACATTTTTTTGACATTCGTGGGGTTGTGCACTATGAATTTGTCCCCAAGGGCAGGACTGTCAACGCCAAGTTCTACTGCAATGCTCTGAGGTAAATGAAGAACATTCAGCAAAAGAGACCTCAACTCTGGAGCCAATGCAACTGGGTCCTTCATCACAACAATGAACCTACTCACAGAGCCTGCAACAACATCACAACTTTTCTTCATCTGCCTTACTTGCCTGATTTGGCTCCCTGTGATTTCTTCCTGTTCCCAAAAATGAAAATGAAACTGAAAAGTCATCATTTTGAAACCGTGGAAGAGATCCAACACAAATTGCAGGAGGTGCTTGACACCCTTGAAGAAAGACTTCCAGGGAGCTTTCCAAAAGTGGCAGATGCACTGGGAGTGGTATATCAATGCACAAGGGGAGTACTTTAAAGGTGACGCTAACCAAATATAAATAAAGTAAATATTTTTTTGTAATGGGACCAGTCCTGGAACTTTCTGATATCACCTCATATTAAAGTATTAATTCAAGTACTATAGTGTTTGCAAAAATTTTTTTTAAATAGTTTATTAAATTCTAAAAAACTAGAATCATAATATTTTTACACCAAGAATATTATTTGATTTATTGAACATTTATACTAATACTAGCAGGTGTCCAATTCTTTTGCACAAATATTAAAAAGATATATATTTATACATACTGTAGAAAAACTGAATTGAAGTTAAGAAGAAAACCTATGATAAAATAAAATAAATTACTCCTCAAACCTTTATTTGAATATTAAAGGCCCATTCGTTATAGCCTGAAGAAGAGCCCAGGAGGGGCGACGAAAACATTCGCAATTCTAAAAATAGAAGCATTCCGGTTAAAGGTTTGAGGAGTAATTTATTTTATTTTATTTAAACACCAGTGTGTAGAGAGATTGTATAAAACCTATGATCATTGAATGTATTTTCATACCACCTCATTTTCAAAAATCAATATCTTTAGTGATCTTTTTTTTTCTTATCTTAGGCCTATTTGCTTTATTACATGCTTCACAATTATCCACCATGATGGAAAACAAACTATGTGATCTGTGTAATCTTCTGATTTTATGATTTATGAGAAATTATGATATTGAGATTTAAACAATATAACTAACAAAAAAAATTATATTTTTAATAATATATTTGATTATTATAAATCAACAATAGATAGTGCTATATTCTATAAACTGTCTGCAAGGTTTAGGATTGGCAAATGCATTGTCTTTACTACATAAAGTCAATATAGCTAAATTTTTGTCTTTGAGACATTGGAATTTTTCTGACATTCAATCTAAAAGTTACAACCAATATGTATAATTTCAAGTGTATTGAACTCTTCAATGTGGATAAACAGCTTCAGATATAGTCATTAATATTTAAGGTTTTTCTATATAAATTCAAAAATTTAGTAAACAGTGTATATTTTAGATTCTAGAACAAAAATATTGAAGAATTTTAAGAGATTCCTTAATGATATAAATTGAGTTTCACTTTTAAACAACAAATTACAAAAGATAGATCATTTTAAATTTACTAAAAATAATAAAAAAATTCTAAAAAGCATTAGCTTTTAAGAATTTAGTTACTTAAAAATTGGTAACTTTGTGCAGGCTTATATCTAAACTTTTAATAAATAACTATGTGGTTGCAATAATTCTGATTTTCATATTGAACAACTAACTAAATTTGCTAAGAGCACATCCACACATTCACTATTTGCCAAAAGCCAAGCAAACATTCAACAAACACTGAGTAGTGTGGATGGTTTACTTATGACTAATATTCAGTATTCACTGTTTCCGGATTCTTGTTGGTAAATAGTGCTGAATCAAAGCAGAAAAATACTTACATCCACATATTCATGTCGTACAGTACATCCACACTATTTGCATTCGGCAAATAGCAAATGTGTCGATTTAGTCATCAGTGTTTTCATTTTAGTTTTTTTTAAAACTAGATCTAGTCTTTTATTTTTGAATTTAGTTTATTTTTTGATTTCGTTTGTAGTTTAAATATTTCATTTTTTTCCACATAGTTTTTCTGGTCTTTTTGCTTTTGGTTTTATTGTGTTGTTTTTTTAAAATTCCTTTCTTTTTCACATTCACACTTTTCTTCTTTGGTGAAGTAATATCATCCACTACCTTCCTCTTTTAGACTTTTGTTTTCATTGAAAGATTGAACTACTCATAACTATAAAAGCCATGGCATAAATTATTGTTTGAGAATTGTCCATTTTCTAGATCGTGGATGAACATTCTTCGTTTTTGAACAAATGCTCTACAAATAATTAAATGTGTATACATGTGAGCTCGACAACTGACAAACACTTTGGCAAAGTTTGGCAAAAGGTAAATATTCCACATTCAGCAAATAGCGAATGTGTGGATGCACCCTAACTCTTAGGGTAAGACTATCCAGATGTGAGCGAGCAAGAATAGGGGATGAGAATAGATGGTGACGTTTCTCACTTTCATTAAGTACAGTACAACTACATCGACACAAGCAAATGAGAGAAAGTGGTTTGGAGATGATGATATCATGATTGCATTGAACTTGTCACAGGGAAGTGAGAATTATTGCACTGTATGGAAGTAACAATCAAAATGGTTCAGCTAGGATGCTTACTACTAGCAAGGAAAAACATTTTGTTATTAGGATTACTTCATAATAAATACATAAAAAAACAAAAATACAGTGTTCCTCCTTTCTTGAAACAGAGTAAGGATAAAAAACGTAATTATAATTTGCATAACAGCATACATGATAACATGAATATACTCTTACTTCTGTGGTGTGTTAAAAGGATGAAAGATAGACTCGAAAAATTAGAAAATTTTTTGTAAATAGTCATAATTCAATTTTTAATTATAATTTGTTAATAAAACAGAATTTATATGACTTTATGTATATCTATAGTTTGAAAAAAAATCTTTTTATACACTGACATGCAAAATTTAAGCAACAATATAATTTTTAAGCAGACAGCCATGAAATTGTAGAAAAGGGCTTGTTGCAATCAGTACACTGAACACCCAATTCAATAGAAAGGTGATTCATATGCAAATATCAGGAAGAAGACATCTTAGGTGATATGAGAGTATGTAACTCTTTCATGTACCAATTCTACTCTTTCAATAACAATTCTACTCTTTTTTTGTTTGATTCCTTACTGTATGTGTTCTATTCATTTTTGCATTAGTATGATTTCTTCATCCTTTAAGTATCTGTATTCTGAATTTCATATCTCCCAGGTGATTTCTTGCAGAGTTAAAAAACAATTGCTGCTTAAGTTTTGCACATCAATGTACTTAATCACAGTATAATGGGTTAGAATACCTAAAAATATATGACAAAATATACACAAAAGCTAACTGAATATAGGATTTCAGACAAATTACTACAAACTATTGACTGAACTTATCAAATGAGTGGTACAAATTGCTAAAGTGCCAATAATAAAATAGCATAGCAGGGCACTTTAAGCAGGATACGAGTGTATTGCAAAGCTTAATTACATAAAATTTTAAAATTTGCCATCACTGTTATATAATTTAACATTTAAACTAACTCATCTCATCAATAAAATTTTTTGTGTGCATTGAAATCATATCCTAATAGTACTTTACCAACATAATTATAAAAAATATAGTAATTTGAGATGTATAAATTGTTGAAATTTAAATTTTACTTTATTTTATTTAATACTCTCAGTAACATATGTAAGTAAATAAATTAAATTCTACTTACTAATTCTTCTTCAAGTGGGCCTGTACCAATATACAATGAAGCAAGTGTAATTCTTTTTGTAGCTTTCAGTGTATAATCCTTAAAAGAAAAATAATCAGCATGAGAAATGAATCATAAATTTTAATTTTACATTATTTAAATATGCATACGAACTTTTAAATTTTGAAAAAATTGTGATGGTTCATGTAAAATTTTAATATTCTTTGCACTAACACCAAATTTTGGACCAAATTCATCCAACCAGGAAAATTCACTTTCACCAGAAATGCAACTATTTTCACTCATTGATGCTATATTATTTTCTGCCATAAAACTAATATCTTTTGTACCCATTAAAAATGGAATATGTAAACCACAAGTTGTAACACCACACAGTAAACAATAAATCTGCTTTCTCCTTTGAACAGCATAATATCTGAAAAATCAAAATTTATTCATAAAATATAAAGTATAGTTAAAGAAAAACATTTTTTTTTTACTTGTAATATTAATATTTAAGCAAATAAGTTTTTAATAAATTAAAAATATATATATATATACATTTTAAATTCTAAAATCTATTTTTGCTTTAAATAACATTCAAGCAAATTATTTTTAAACGTTGAGAACACACAGCTATATTTAGTATTCAGAATTTAATGAAGTTTTCTAATCTATTCTCTTATTATTACTTAATGCAAATTTTGTGGACCTTGTTACTCAAAAGTATTAAAGAAGAAGATTGTACATTTTATTATATTTTAAAGTAAATAATTTATAATTCTCCAGTATTTAAAAATTACTGTTTTTTGCAAACAATTATCAAATATAAATTACAAAAAATAATTAAATAAATGGATAATAATTAAGATATACAACAAAAATTTATTAATATTAAACTGAACTAATTATTGGTTAATACGAGTTAAATTAATATCTTTTGCATATTAAAATTCTATAAAATGTTGATTAATATGATGTTATATAACACAATATTAAATTTCTAATTAAGTAATTCTTAATAATCAAATTCATTTTTGCAATTTAGAAGAAATAAAAGAAACTGAGAAAAATATTTAATAAAACGATTGCATTTTAAGTTCTGACTAGTTTATTGAAATTAAACCAAAATACACACTTACTAAATATAGTTTAGAACATAGTACTGGATAAATTAGCTTTACTTGTTAATGCCTATAGTGCAAAATATCTGGTATTTAAAAAAAATAATAAAATATTTAGAATCATTAAAATAAATTTGGAATGAGTAAAAAGTTTATAATAATCAACGTACATTATAAATTTTGATTGACATAGAAATTTCAACTCATCTTGCATCATATAAATTTGATACTTGGATGAATCATCATTTAGACTACTGGTATATTCTTTTTAAATTTCACATATGGTGCTATCTAAAGTTTTTAAAGTATTTGCTTTTCAATAGCAAATATTGACAAAATATTTTATTACTGGATGGCAAATATTACAAATCACAAATTTGTTTAAAAACTATTTCAAATCAAATTGATTGCAACATATTTTGTAGTAAATCATCATATTTTTATGTGCGTAATCTGCAGAAAATTGCTTTAACAAAAATAAAAGTTTTGCATAATCCATTAAACCCACTCCACAATATATCCCATGCCTATGGAAGTAGCCAATGCTCCATGGGCACAAGTTTGTAATTGCAATTTAAAATTGGCATATTATTCACCTCATTACATAACCTACACCCCCTTCAAACTGTCTTTTAAATGCTAATAACTCATATGTTATATTCACAAAAATACAGTATCCACCTATTTCATCTACACCTTAAATATTTTCTTTACAATATATAAATAAGTCAAGTATGGGATATCAGATATATTAAGTGTTCAGTTAAAGAATTAAAAAATATTCTACTGTACATTTAAAATCAAGAAATTTTCCTGAAAAATAATTATTTAATAAAAATAGAACCTAATGAATTTTTATTATTCTATTTAATCAATGCTTATTTTGTACATTGAATCATTTTGTCTTGTTATATAACTTTGGACTGATTTTTGGATTGGGCAATCCTGTCAAAATGAAATCATTCGTGTAATACTGCAATAAAATTTTAATATTTTTCCTGAATCATTTTAATGCCAACAACAATATAATGGATTTCTAAAATAATATTAAACGTTGAAAAGCTTAAATTGACTAAAGGTCGGTTGCACAAGTTACTGTATAAAGTACAGAATAAATCTGACTTTGACACTAATCTATGCTCATCACACAAGTTTTTTGACTCATCAGATAACTAACAGCTGATTAGCCATAAAAATTCTTAGTGAACAATTGCATTACTAAGAGCAATGGTAAATAAGATAGAGGCAAAAGCTTGGTATGAATTGAAGTATACACAAAAATGCATATTAGGAGATTTGGCAGATACTATCTACAATAATTAATAAGTTTACATTATAAAGAGTCACTTAACTCTGACAATTAATGTAGAACTATCTTTTACATTTATATTTTTTCTTTTAATTTATTCTTTCACATAAGATAGTTGAAAGAAATAAATTACAATACAATTCCAAAAAACATTTTGTTGCCTCTGTTCAAAAAGTACAAGGCTTAAGATAAAATATTGCAGCACTGCTACATGTATAGTTGTATACTGTATAACTGGATTTTACGTAAGACCCTCTTATTCAAATTATATACTATAAAAATTATACTTTACAGTAATTACATGATATTAAATGTTAATTTAATTGTATCAAAACAATTAAAATGCAAATTACATTATTGATAAATTAATTTTCTTTAAATGAAAGAAGCATATATTTATAGTATTTTTATAGAAAATTTAGTTGTCATTTTATAAAACTCAAAAAGCATATATCATATATTAAAAATTAGAAAAAAAATGTAAAACTAGATCACATCTATAATAAATAGTTCAATAGTTCAGTAAATAGTTCAATGTTTACTTAACAATTCATAAATAAATCTCTGATCTAAATTATTTTATATTTAAAATACTTACTAAATATAATTAATTCTTAAAATTGGCAACCGTACTGTATTATTGTGAATAAGCGATATTGATTTTGTAAATTTGTCACACAGTCAATTAACGCTAAATCATTTCAAAACTATTTTACAACAATAACCTATTATCTACATGACAAAACATTTCGCAATTTATTTTCTTTACCTATAAAATAACATTTTAATATTTATAATCTTGCACATCTCAATTCATACAGCATTCATTTTACCCAATAAATATTAATAAAATTAAAAATACCTAGGAGTTAAAAATATATTTTAGCATGTCATTATAACAATATACTAAAAAATAATTATATTTTACAAATTTTCTACAAGATATTAAAGGTTAATAAAACTTAAAGATAGAAGGAATTTTACATAGAACTTGCAATACAAATTAAGATCCGCATAGGTACTAAGCTTTCCGGCATTTAATAGATTAATTAATTTTAACCTTTACTAAGTTTAAATTAACCCGTAATAGGTTAATAAAACTTAAATGCCGGAAAGCTCAGTACGTACGCAGCAAGTTCTACATAAAACTCCTTCCATTTGTCGTTACGTAATCATTTTAAATTACATACCGCAATCATTTTACCTTGAACAAAACAGATTACTTAATGTATCTCTATCAAGGCCATCAAATGTTCAAATTTTAACCTTTTGATGCATGTATAATTTATATTTCAGTCAAAATAAATACTTTCAGTTTAAAATTTCATTGGATAATTGAATATTTGTTCTGTAATTAAACCATGTTTGCACATTATAATCTGAGAAAAACTGATTAAATATTGCAAAATCGGTGAAGTTAATAGGATAAACATAGCAAAAGATAAAGTGTTTTTCATATTAATTTTAATCAAAGATGAAGGGTAGATATTTTAAGGATCATTTCTTTCACAGATATTGAAGTTAATCGGGGGGAGATTAAAGATAATGCGGAGGAAAAGAACCTACCCCTCGAAATCCCTGGTTGAGAAGAAGGCTCTGCACCTCCATACAAGGATCTGGTTTAGAAGATAGCGCTTGGATGATCCATCACGATATTAAAACCTTAAATAAGGCATTACTGGAAGATATAAATAACATATCCCGAGTTATTTTTTATTATCTTACCGAATCTTAACGAAAATTCGACTATATGAATGGAACATTTTCCAAACAACCTTCTCAACTTTCAGGCCATGCTAAGCGTTCGCAGCGCCATCTAATTTCCGGTTTAAATTTTATTTTCGTACTTTATTAATTAATATTTATAGAAATGATTACATATAAAAATATGTGATTTGTTTATTACATAAATTTATTTTATCGTGTTTATATTTTTTCATCTTTTATATCTAAATAAAATTCGCATAATTTTAATTTGGAATCGGGTGGCGTCATCTAGGGGCATTCGGAGAAACTAATTTCGGAATAAAACTAAAGGGTGTAGCGAATTTTTTAATTTTATTCGTAAAAATAATATTTAAAAAAGAGTTAAATTCGAAAAAAGACTATTTATAGCCTAACCAATCTGCATTAAAAATGTATACGGAGCTCATTAAAAAATACTTATTATTTACAATATTCGTATCGATGTTACTTATTCTAAAACGAAAGAATAAATAATTAAATTCGAGACTTGATTATAAATTTTTATCAATTTCAAAAAGTACATCGGAATAAAACTAAAGGGTGTAGCGAATTTTTTAATTTTATTCGTAAAAATAATATTTAAAAAAGAGTTAAATTCGAAAAAAGACTATTTATAGCCTAACCAATCTGCATTAAAAATGTATACGGAGCTCATTAAAAAATACTTATTATTTGGAATATTCGTATCGATGTTACTTATTCTAAAACGAAAGAATAAATAATTAAATTCGAGACTTGATTATAAAGTTTTATCAATTTCAAAAAGTACATCGTGCTATTATGATTAATTAAAGGAAATTGTATAAATAGTGGTACATTACCCTACGGGTAGACGACCGGATGGCAGGCTACCGCTCTGGGGGACCCGGAATCGAATCTGGACGAATCCGTATTCCGTCTGAATATGTCGGGCTCAATCCCTCATCATCCGGTAGCCCCATTGTGGGCCTGGTTGAACCCATAATGAACTTGGTAAAAGAGGCCCTCTTAGTGCCTACAGAGCGAAAAGTTATAAAAACCGTATGGATAAAAAGGGCAATTTCCTGAGGCTTTCAATAACAGGAGAGCCAAAACGAATCTTTTATAAGGAAATATTTCACACAAAAGTTCCTCCGAAGAAATACGTCTGAAGTTAACACTATACTAATCCTCCAATTTAAGTTCGCCTGGCTTCCATAAAGTTACAATGCGCCACTGTGTATAAAGCATATAAACTGTCTTTCCTTAATCCCGAGAACGAAGTGAGATAGATTAAAGTTTGAACCAGATATAAAAAGCATAGGGCAGGAGATACCGATTAATTAACTATAGCGTGACTTCGAGTTGCATCAAAAGATTATATACAGTTAATTGGGGCCTCCTGTCTCCTAAGCTTTCCATAACCCGACTTTGAAAAACATTGAAGTCAGAAAATACAAAGATACTGTATAAGCAAAAGTGTTAGATAATCTAGAAGCTATCGTGCATTGGACAGATTCATAGAATTCTTGTAGTTCATGCAATCACCTTCTGTATTCCTGAAATTTGATTAAAGTCAGATTGCAACCCTGTTAATTATTAAGGCATACTTCCAAAGGACTGCATTACCCTGTTTGATAGCAAATGATGAAAGAGAAGTTGAATACAGTCCTTATAAGTTTTAAGCAATACAAACTAATTGAAATAATTGATTATTTAGACAGCAGGAAGTACCAGCACGTGTAGATTAAATGGCCGGATGCAAGTTTACTCATTATAGACGGGTCTAGTTTGCAATGGATCAGCCAACGTAAGTAAGATGGGAAAGAATGTTTCGACTTGCACTATCTATGATAAATTGTGGGACACTTGGGATTCGAATTCTGATTCCTCATGGAGTATATCAAACATAAAAATTATGCAGTATATATATAAACTTAGGAAATAAATTATCACAGTTTATCAGAACATATCATATAGATATGAAGTATGAGAGGAAAGAAAGCTGTTAGTCTGTTTAATTATGTAATTGTAGTGTTGGAATAGCAAGGATGAAAAATATTGTAACTGCAGTTTTATTACTTCTATCGATTTATAAAATATCATGCGAAACTTTGAAGAATGAATGTCCTGAAATGGAAAAATTTCCTTCTTGTACTTGTGAAAAAGTTTTACTTCATGGCTTAAAATTTGTTTGCAATGAATTTTTAAATATAGCTTATATGAAAACAGAATTACGAGAACTAGATGGAAAATTTAACATTTATTTTTTAGAAATATGGAATAGTGTACTTAACTATCTTCCAACATCTTTATTCAGGTTTGATATCGTTTTATATTTTTTAATATGATAATGTAAATTGATATGGTATTTAATATGGTATTTTTTTTGCTGTTTGGATTACAGATGGGTTCAAATGAAGCAATTAAAAATATTTGATAGTATTATAATGGGCTTAGAAGACGAAGTAGCGAATGTACCGGAAGAAAAACTCGAAAGGTTAACATTTAATAATACTGAGGGAGTAGATAGCTGGAGATGGTCTAGCCTTTCTTCACTTCAGAATCTATGGTCTATAGAAATAAGAAATTCGGATTTTAGCTCTGTTAACGAAGATTTTGCATTGATTTCTCCAATAAAATTAGCTCTTATTGATCTCAGTAACAATAATATCGATTTTATTGACGAATATGCTTTTTCTCCTTTTAAAAAACTTTACGATATTACGTTAAATAACAACAAAATTAATAAGATTAGTAGAACAATGTTTCCTAACCCTGCAAACTTTTTAAAAACATTAAAAATAAGGTATGTATCAGACATATAATAAAAAATCTATACCATAGTAACTATATTATAAATTATACAGTACTTCAAATCTTTAACATATAACTTTTTTTTACTTTATTTTAGTGATAATAAAATACAAACCTTTCCAAATGATATATTTGTAAATATGCCAGTATTAGAAGAAGTAGTGCTAAATAATAACAATGTAAAAATTTTAGATATGAAAACTTTCCTTCCATTAATGAATAGAAAAATTAAGATCAAGATAGAAAGTAAGTATTTAATGAATATAAAATAGGCTATTAAATATTATTCAATGCTGATAATTTAATATTTAATTTTAGATAACGACATATATTGCTGTTCTTATTTATCGTGGATGATTGAGAACAAATCCAAGATAAAATTTACTGGTGAATGCAAGAGACCAAGTCACCTTTCTGGAAAACGAATTGAAAAATTAACTATTTCGGAGTTTGATAATGCAGAATGCTAATTGAAAATTTTAAAATATATTATTAATTTAGTATTTTTTAATCACTGTCTCTGTAATTATAAATTAACTTATACATAAATTCCTATTCTGTATAACAGAAATCAAGATAGGTTTTAACTAACTTTTTTTTTTTCGATATAAAAATGCAACTAGCAAACTAAACAATAATAATAAATACAAAGTGTAAATTGATGTTAATTTGTATTATTTTGATGAGCTGTTTAGTTACTCATTAAATATCATTAAAAAATTAAAAAGAATGCAATTGCTCTTCTTTTTTCCGGAAAAAATATTCCTGGAAATGTCAATCATTTCCAAGACACTGTCAAGCTTTAGTACAGCTTATATATAGATTGACAAAACTTTATTTTAAAATATAATTTTATCATAAAATAGATGATTATCATCATTCAAGTTAATGTTAATCAATAGATAAAAGCTTCCATCTTTGTGCTTGTAAATTGTTTAAGTTTTGTTCGTTAGACTTGGTAAAGAAGATGGATATGAAAATTGGAAGAGCATTAGTGACCGACAGAGAATAAGGAATAGGAAGAGCTGTAGTAAATTTCATGATTTGGAAATTAAATAAGGGCCCGACATATTCGTACAGACCATCTCCGAAAAATTCTTGGATTTTCGATCCGTCCGGATTACGAACCCGGATCCTCCAGAGCGGTTGGGTGCCATCTTTAACTGCTCGGTAATCAGGCAGACTTGAAATATATAAATCTAGCCTTACCGGCAAGTGTTTAAATTACGAGGATGCTATGGCGTTACCATCGGCCTGTAAGTATATGATCAAGAATAGCTCATTAAAATCTAATAAATAACGCGAGGTCGATATAATTCTATATATATTATGTTAATAGGTTTGTATTTTTATTTCGTTTTATTTTAATTTGTTCAGTTTCATGTATTTATAGTGTTTGTTACATTTTTGTATATTTTGGTATTTTGACGAAATGTTCGAACCTCTTTGAATTTAACACTTGTGGGCCCAGGGCTTAAGCCCTATTAGTCCCTATGTAGATCTCTCCTGTTCGTGATGGCAATCGGGTTCATTTTCTATTGCCTCTGTTTTCAATTGAACGTGTAATAAAATCTTAATTGGCATTACATTCATTTATGATAAAACTGTATTAAGTTAACGTAATTTTCAAGAAACATTTCAATATCTTATATCTTATTCACCAGGAGGATGTTTATGTTCCATTTAGTCCGAAACAAATTTCGGTAATGAAAAATAAAGATTACCGGACATTAAACAAATAACATTATACTAGTCACTAGTCTATTCAATGCAGTACGAATTTGGCATTAACCTTGGCCCTCGGCATCGGAATTTTGAAGTGAAGGGGGCGATACAACATAATGGTTTTATTGAAGAGGGTAATGATTCGTTAGAGGTTGAGAAACACTGAATCAGATCAATGGTTCCCATCAGGTGGTTTGCAAATCCCTTTGAGTTAACAACATTAATCCATGGGATTTGCAATAAGTTTGTAATATCAAATACTGCTAAATAGTGTTTAAAGAAAAATTGAAAAACGTAAGGAAGAAGGGAAATAATGATGAGAAAACAAATTGAAGCTTTAAAATTCACAAAAGAGTGTAAATCCTCACAATAATATTGATCTCCTTATTGACTCAAGCCCAAACCTACATCCACTCCAGTTACTCGCGATCCTCCCACTCGATATTCATACAAAAAGGTTACAAGCGTGCCTAATGCTATATCTAGGCTGGTGTCAGGAAAAACAACTTCCAGGTGTTTCTTATGAACTTCTGTTCTTTATTCTAAGTCTTAGGGAGCCATCCTTTGACGTTGNTATTAATATTAAACTGAACTAATTATTGGTTAATACGAGTTAAATTAATATCTTTTGCATATTAAAATTCTATAAAATGTTGATTAATATGATGTTATATAACACAATATTAAATTTCTAATTAAGTAATTCTTAATAATCAAATTCATTTTTGCAATTTAGAAGAAATAAAAGAAACTGAGAAAAATATTTAATAAAACGATTGCATTTTAAGTTCTGACTAGTTTATTGAAATTAAACCAAAATACACACTTACTAAATATAGTTTAGAACATAGTACTGGATAAATTAGCTTTACTTGTTAATGCCTATAGTGCAAAATATCTGGTATTTAAAAAAAATAATAAAATATTTAGAATCATTAAAATAAATTTGGAATGAGTAAAAAGTTTATAATAATCAACGTACATTATAAATTTTGATTGACATAGAAATTTCAACTCATCTTGCATCATATAAATTTGATACTTGGATGAATCATCATTTAGACTACTGGTATATTCTTTTTAAATTTCACATATGGTGCTATCTAAAGTTTTTAAAGTATTTGCTTTTCAATAGCAAATATTGACAAAATATTTTATTACTGGATGGCAAATATTACAAATCACAAATTTGTTTAAAAACTATTTCAAATCAAATTGATTGCAACATATTTTGTAGTAAATCATCATATTTTTATGTGCGTAATCTGCAGAAAATTGCTTTAACAAAAATAAAAGTTTTGCATAATCCATTAAACCCACTCCACAATATATCCCATGCCTATGGAAGTAGCCAATGCTCCATGGGCACAAGTTTGTAATTGCAATTTAAAATTGGCATATTATTCACCTCATTACATAACCTACACCCCCTTCAAACTGTCTTTTAAATGCTAATAACTCACATGTTATATTCACAAAAATACAGTATCCACCTATTTCATCTACACCTTAAATATTTTCTTTACAATATATAAATAAGTCAAGTATGGGATATCAGATATATTAAGTGTTCAGTTAAAGAATTAAAAAATATTCTACTGTACATTTAAAATCAAGAAATTTTCCTGAAAAATAATTATTTAATAAAAATAGAACCTAATGAATTTTTATTATTCTATTTAATCAATGCTTATTTTGTACATTGAATCATTTTGTCTTGTTATATAACTTTGGACTGATTTTTGGATTGGGCAATCCTGTCAAAATGAAATCATTCGTGTAATACTGCAATAAAATTTTAATATTTTTCCTGAATCATTTTAATGCCAACAACAATATAATGGATTTCTAAAATAATATTAAACGTTGAAAAGCTTAAATTGACTAAAGGTCGGTTGCACAAGTTACTGTATAAAGTACAGAATAAATCTGACTTTGACACTAATCTATGCTCATCACACAAGTTTTTTGACTCATCAGATAACTAACAGCTGATTAGCCATAAAAATTCTTAGTGAACAATTGCATTACTAAGAGCAATGGTAAATAAGATAGAGGCAAAAGCTTGGTATGAATTGAAGTATACACAAAAATGCATATTAGGAGATTTGGCAGATACTATCTACAATAATTAATAAGTTTACATTATAAAGAGTCACTTAACTCTGACAATTAATGTAGAACTATCTTTTACATTTATATTTTTTCTTTTAATTTATTCTTTCACATAAGATAGTTGAAAGAAATAAATTACAATACAATTCCAAAAAACATTTTGTTGCCTCTGTTCAAAAAGTACAAGGCTTAAGATAAAATATTGCAGCACTGCTACATGTATAGTTGTATACTGTATAACTGGATTTTACGTAAGACCCTCTTATTCAAATTATATACTATAAAAATTATACTTTACAGTAATTACATGATATTAAATGTTAATTTAATTGTATCAAAACAATTAAAATGCAAATTACATTATTGATAAATTAATTTTCTTTAAATGAAAGAAGCATATATTTATAGTATTTTTATAGAAAATTTAGTTGTCATTTTATAAAACTCAAAAAGCATATATCATATATTAAAAATTAGAAAAAAAATGTAAAACTAGATCACATCTATAATAAATAGTTCAATAGTTCAGTAAATAGTTCAATGTTTACTTAACAATTCATAAATAAATCTCTGATCTAAATTATTTTATATTTAAAATACTTACTAAATATAATTAATTCTTAAAATTGGCAACCGTACTGTATTATTGTGAATAAGCGATATTGATTTTGTAAATTTGTCACACAGTCAATTAACGCTAAATCATTTCAAAACTATTTTACAACAATAACCTATTATCTACATGACAAAACATTTCGCAATTTATTTTCTTTACCTATAAAATAACATTTTAATATTTATAATCTTGCACATCTCAATTCATACAGCATTCATTTTACCCAATAAATATTAATAAAATTAAAAATACCTAGGAGTTAAAAATATATTTTAGCATGTCATTATAACAATATACTAAAAAATAATTATATTTTACAAATTTTCTACAAGATATTAAAGGTTAATAAAACTTAAAGATAGAAGGAATTTTACATAGAACTTGCAATACAAATTAAGATCCGCATACGTACTAAGCTTTCTGGCATTTAATAGATTAATTAATTTTAACCTTTACTAAGTTTAAATTAACCCGTAATAGGTTAATAAAACTTAAATGCCGGAAAGCTCAGTACGTACGCAGCAAGTTCTACATAAAACTCCTTCCATTTGTCGTTACGTAATCATTTTAAATTACATACCGCAATCATTTTACCTTGAACAAAACAGATTACTTAATGTATCTCTATCAAGGCCATCAAATGTTCAAATTTTAACCTTTTGATGCATGTATAATTTATATTTCAGTCAAAATAAATACTTTCAGTTTAAAATTTCATTGGATAATTGAATATTTGTTCTGTAATTAAACCATGTTTGCACATTATAATCTGAGAAAAACTGATTAAATATTGCAAAATCGGTGAAGTTAATAGGATAAACATAGCAAAAGATAAAGTGTTTTTCATATTAATTTTAATCAAAGATGAAGGGTAGATATTTTAAGGATCATTTCTTTCACAGATATTGAAGTTAATCGGGGGGAGATTAAAGATAATGCGGAGGAAAAGAACCTACCCCTCGAAATCCCTGGTTGAGAAGAAGGCTCTGCACCTCCATACAAGGATCTGGTTTAGAAGATAGCGCTTGGATGATCCATCACGATATTAAAACCTTAAATAAGGCATTACTGGAAGATATAAATAACATATCCCGAGTTATTTTTTATTATCTTACCGAATCTTAACGAAAATTCGACTATATGAATGGAACATTTTCCAAACAACCTTCTCAACTTTCAGGCCATGCTAAGCGTTCGCAGCGCCATCTAATTTCCGGTTTAAATTTTATTTTCGTACTTTATTAATTAATATTTATAGAAATGATTACATATAAAAATATGTGATTTGTTTATTACATAAATTTATTTTATCGTGTTTATATTTTTTCATCTTTTATATCTAAATAAAATTCGCATAATTTTAATTTGGAATCGGGTGGCGTCATCTAGGGGCATTCGGAGAAACTAATTTCGGAATAAAACTAAAGGGTGTAGCGAATTCTTTAATTTTAATCGTAAAAATAATATTTAAAAAAGAGTTAAATTCGAAAAAAGACTATTTATAGCCTAACCAATCTGCATTAAAAATGTATACGGAGCTCATTAAAAAATACTTATTATTTACAATATTCGTATCGATGTTACTTATTCTAAAACGAAAGAATAAATAATTAAATTCGAGACTTGATTATAAATTTTTATCAATTTCAAAAAGTACATCGTGCTATTATGATTAATTAAAGGAAATTGTATAAATAGTGGCACATTACCCTACGGGTAGACGACCGGATGGCAGGCTACCGCTCTGGGGGACCCGGAATCGAATCTGGACGAATCCGTATTCCGTCTGAATATGTCGGGCTCAATCCCTCATCATCCGGTAGCCCCATTGTGGGCCTGGTTGAACCCATAATGAACTTGGTAAAAGAGGCCCTCTTAGTGCCTACAGAGCGAAAAGTTATAAAAACCGTATGGATAAAAAGGGCAATTTCCTGAGGCTTTCAATAACAGGAGAGCCAAAACGAATCTTTTATAAGGAAATATTTCACACAAAAGTTCCTCCGAAGAAATACGTCTGAAGTTAACACTATACTAATCCTCCAATTTAAGTTCGCCTGGCTTCCATAAAGTTACAATGCGCCACTGTGTATAAAGCATATAAACTGTCTTTCCTTAATCCCGAGAACGAAGTGAGATAGATTAAAGTTTGAACCAGATATAAAAAGCATAGGGCAGGAGATACCGATTAATTAACTATAGCGTGACTTCGAGTTGCATCAAAAGATTATATACAGTTAATTGGGGCCTCCTGTCTCCTAAGCTTTCCATAACCCGACTTTGAAAAACATTGAAGTCAGAAAATACAAAGATACTGTATAAGCAAAAGTGTTAGATAATCTAGAAGCTATCGTGCATTGGACAGATTCATAGAATTCTTGTAGTTCATGCAATCACCTTCTGTATTCCTGAAATTTGATTAAAGTCAGATTGCAACCCTGTTAATTATTAAGGCATACTTCCAAAGGACTGCATTACCCTGTTTGATAGCAAATGATGAAAGAGAAGTTGAATACAGTCCTTATAAGTTTTAAGCAATACAAACTAATTGAAATAATTGATTATTTAGACAGCAGGAAGTACCAGCACGTGTAGATTAAATGGCCGGATGCAAGTTTACTCATTATAGACGGGTCTAGTTTGCAATGGATCAGCCAACGTAAGTAAGATGGGAAAGAATGTTTCGACTTGCACTATCTATGATAAATTGTGGGACACTTGGGATTCGAATTCTGATTCCTCATGGAGTATATCAAACATAAAAATTATGCAGTATATATATAAACTTAGGAAATAAATTATCACAGTTTATCAGAACATATCATATAGATATGAAGTATGAGAGGAAAGAAAGCTGTTAGTCTGTTTAATTATGTAATTGTAGTGTTGGAATAGCAAGGATGAAAAATATTGTAACTGCATTTTTATTACTTCTATCGATTTATAAAATATCATGCGAAACTTTGAAGAATGAATGTCCTGAAATGGAAAAATTTCCTTCTTGTACTTGTGAAAAAGTTTTACTTCATGGCTTAAAATTTGTTTGCAATGAATTTTTAAATATAGCTTATATGAAAACAGAATTACGAGAACTAGATGGAAAATTTAACATTTATTTTTTAGAAATATGGAATAGTGTACTTAACTATCTTCCAACATCTTTATTCAGGTTTGATATCGTTTTATATTTTTTAATATGATAATGTAAATTGATATGGTATTTAATATGGTATTTTTTTTGCTGTTTGGATTACAGATGGGTTCAAATGAAGCAATTAAAAATATTTGATAGTATTATAATGGGCTTAGAAGACGAAGTAGCGAATGTACCGGAAGAAAAACTCGAAAGGTTAACATTTAATAATACTGAGGGAGTAGATAGCTGGAGATGGTCTAGCCTTTCTTCACTTCAGAATCTATGGTCTATAGAAATAAGAAATTCGGATTTTAGCTCTGTTAACGAAGATTTTGCATTGATTTCTCCAATAAAATTAGCTCTTATTGATCTCAGTAACAATAATATCGATTTTATTGACGAATATGCTTTTTCTCCTTTTAAAAAACTTTACGATATTACGTTAAATAACAACAAAATTAATAAGATTAGTAGAACAATGTTTCCTAACCCTGCAAACTTTTTAAAAACATTAAAAATAAGGTATGTATCAGACATATAATAAAAAATCTATACCATAGTAACTATATTATAAATTATACAGTACTTCAAATCTTTAACATATAACTTTTTTTTACTTTATTTTAGTGATAATAAAATACAAACCTTTCCAAATGATATATTTGTAAATATGCCAGTATTAGAAGAAGTAGTGCTAAATAATAACAATGTAAAAATTTTAGATATGAAAACTTTCCTTCCATTAATGAATAGAAAAATTAAGATCAAGATAGAAAGTAAGTATTTAATGAATATAAAATAGGCTATTAAATATTATTCAATGCTGATAATTTAATATTTAATTTTAGATAACGACATATATTGCTGTTCTTATTTATCGTGGATGATTGAGAACAAATCCAAGATAAAATTTACTGGTGAATGCAAGAGACCAAGTCACCTTTCTGGAAAACGAATTGAAAAATTAACTATTTCGGAGTTTGATAATGCAGAATGCTAATTGAAAATTTTAAAATATATTATTAATTTAGTATTTTTTAATCACTGTCTCTGTAATTATAAATTAACTTATACATAAATTCCTATTCTGTATAACAGAAATCAAGATAGGTTTTAACTAACTNGCGCTCAAACAAAAGACGAATCAACGAGATTTGAAAATCGCGTAACTCCGGGTTCGCGTAAGTCGCGGTATCACTGTATATAATGCGCATGCCTAGTAAAAACTCATTGGCTAACATGTATTCGAATTTTGAATAATATTTGTATTTAATCGCATTGTAACGGAAATTCATTGCTGCCTGAACAAGAACTGTTGAAGGTTCAAAAACATTTGTGAAATTTTAATTTTTCGGTTTTTGAAGTTAATTGCACACTGGTAACAGGCTTCAGGGTATGTAATTGATTATATTCCGGTGTAGGATGAAGTGAAGTTATGTATGAACATCCTTTAACCTGATTTATGATCTAGGAAGATGAAGGTCTGGGTAGTGTAACTGGCAATGCATTTACACAGTAAACAGGAGTTGTGGGTTTGAGTGTTGCTCCAGGCTGATTCTTGTCTTCCAGAACTTTCTAAATTAAAAATTAAACATTAATTTGCTTATAATTATTAAATTTATTAAGAGATGACACATAATACCTACCTCAAAATAGCTTAATATTTAATTATTAAGTAGTATATATATTATAGCCCGATATAATCTGATAGATTGTTTGGCCTTAGTTATACAAAGATGCAACTCTTAAAGACAGAATCATATTAAACCTTCACAATACTGACTTTGATATAATATAGTATACATATAAAAGATGCAGACATCATGCAGTAGTCTTGTGTCTGGAAAGAGCTCCATAGTAAGCATTTTAATGATCTTATACAGGATCATATTGGCAAAACTATCAAACTGCAGGCTGATTCAGGAATGCCTCTTTGGAGAGATGGAAGGTTCATGATGGCCAAACAAGATCAGGTCAAAATACGAAAATATCTATAGGTAGCACATTCATAGACAAAAATTGTAGGAAATGTCATTTGTATCTGAAAGTACATAACATATCAAATTAGATAGCAAGCTTTTAGCATGTGCAGACTACTGACAGTCATACAACCAAATAACAAACACAATGTATAAAAACTTACACACAAACACAAGCTATTATATATCCAACTACCATACTGCAAATACTGTATACATTGCAGACAGTCTTAGAAAACAGTACATACAAAATGTGTTATGGCTGAGCCATAATTGAAGACAAAACAATTCATCAACAGATGGACACATTCATTGATAGACAAAACAAAATCACATACATCATAAATATGTCCATTTTAAACATCCACAACAAATAATCACAAAGTCATATAACAAAGTAAAAGCATATTTACAGATTTAGACTAGTGGAGAAGGAATAGAGAAGAAAGTGAAAAAGATGAAGGAGAGCTTAGGATGGTCCTGAGCAAATATAAAAGATATCTTGGACTATTGCATGGGTTTTTTCCAACTATTAATGACAAAAATATTTTACAAAAAATTTCATGTGTACTGTACAAGGAAGATTAGTAAATTTGATAATGACAATACAAGTAGCCTACAAGGAACAGTCAGTTATCAAAAATGTATTCTGGAAGTTAAGAAATTGAATAAATGGTGATTCCTGTTTCAGCAGACTGTGCCTTCAATTTTCAATAAAGACAATACAATTTGCTGAATACAGAAACCATCAATACAGTGTGGAATGGAAACAAGGTAAAATTCAATTCTGGAATTGATGATATTTGAAGCTGGATTTGTATGAAAGGTACGTGTTGTTTCCTTAAGTGCTATGAAGTTGAAACCTTGATATAAACACAATTTTGGCCCAAGTGGATCAAATTAAGGTTGTTTGTTAATGCATATTTTGCAATTTAATCATTTTTGGGATAAGTACTTTTAAATTTTATAGTTGTTTGCATGTGCTATTTTTTAAATGATTTGTAGTCCATTTCTGCTGTATGTGCATGTATAGTTTACATGAGAATTATCACTTCATCATCCAATTATGATGAGAATGCAAAAT